TGGGTTTTGTGGTTTTTAAATGCTAAAATGGTTAATAAGAATTGGTGATAACTAACATTTTATTAAAGGTATGGCCTACACAGGCTATGTTTTTTTTTTTTTGGTTTTTTCGAGACAGGGTTTCTCTGTGTAGCTTTGCGCCTTTCCTGGAGCTCACTTGGTAGCCCAGGCTGGCCTCGAACTCAAAAAGATCCGCCTGCCTCTGCCTTCCGAGTGCTGGGATTAAAGGCGTGCGCCACCACGCCCGGCTTAGTTAACTTTTCTATTGCTGTGATAAAACACCATAACCAAAGCAACTTATAAAGTGTTTAATTGGGCTTATGGTTCCAGAGGGTTAGAGTCCATCATGGCGGCAGCAAGCAGCAGGCATGTTGGCTGGAGAGGCAACTGAGAGCTCACGTCTCGAACCAAGCAAATGGGGAGCAGACATACAGGAATGGTGCAAGTCTTCTGAAACATCAAAGCCTGCCTTGAGGACACGCCTCCTCTAACACGGCCACACCCCCTCCAACAAAGCCACACCTCCTAATCCTTTCCAAATAGTTCCACCAACTGTGCATTGAATATTCAAACAGATGAGCCTACAAGGTTCATTTTAATTCAAATCACCACAAGTGCTAAGAAAAAAAAAGTTATGGAGTGTCCAACTTGGTTGATCACCAAATCAGCCCATGACAATAACTTAAGTATAATTGTTCCAGAGTAGAGTCCTCAAAGTGGGATTAGGTAATTGGAAGGTATAGACAGTAAAGGAGGAAAATCTCACCTTAAGGGGCATCATTGTAAATGGCTGGGACTCAAGCTCCATGGAATAATGGCAGCTTTATTGAACGTGCTTTAGAATGTTCATTGAAGTCATAGAAGACTGGAGAATTCCCCCATCACTCCTGTCCCTATAGATAACGGGTTTCTCCGATTTGGTTCTAGGCTTAGAGATGTGCTATGATTGTTGTCTGGACTCCACCAGCCCAGCTAGGGGCAAATGAGATGCCAGGAGGCAGAAAACAACAGAGGGCAACGTGGCCTGCCCACCTCTGCAGGAAGCTAGTACCACAGCAATGGCTGAAGAGAAAGGTGAGCTGGGGATACATAAGATGAAGCAAGATGGAGATGAGACGGGACGATGTTATATCAGCTGGCAAAGTAGGTCATTAGCCTCCATGTTCCCATCCTCAAACATCAACGCTTCCTTCCATCAAAACCAAAACAATAATAGTAAAAAGAAGACCCTCTGGCCTACTTAGAGTTACTGTTGCTGAGAGGAAACACCATGACCAAAGCAACTTGGGGAGAAAAGGGTTTATTTCAGCTTGCACTTCCAGGTTAACAACAGTCCATCACTAAGGGAAGTCACCACACAGGGCAGGGACTTGGAAGCAGGAGCTGATGCAGAGGCCATGGAGGAGTGCTGCTTACTGGCTTGCTCAGCCTGCTTTCTTATACAACTCAGGACCACCTGCCTGAGGATGGCACCACCCACCATAGCTGGGCCCTCCCCCATCAATTACCAATTAAGAAAATGCCCTACAGCCAGGCATTTTCTCAATGGAGGCTCCCTCCTTTCAGATGACTCTGGCTTGTGTCAAGTTGACATAAAACCAGCCAGGATACTGTACCACCACAAAGACCTCTGTCTCGTCGTGGACCCAGAAACACGGAGCCAGCTCTCTGAAACAGTTGACCCAAATACCTCCCTCCTTCTTGAAGTGGTTTTTGTAGGGAATTTCTTTGGTCACAGTGATTCAGCCTCACTAGGTCACACTCAGTCAAATCAGTCTTTACTGTGTTTTTTGGTTTTTTGAGACAGGGTTTCTCTGTGTAGCTTTGCACCTTTCCTGGAACTCGCTTAGTAGCCCAGGCTGGCCTCGAACTCACAGAGATCCTCCTGCCTCTGCCTCCCGAGTGCTGGGATTAAAGGCGTGCGCCACCACCGCCCGGCCAAATCAGTCTTTAAACAATAGTTTTCCCAACTGTTCTGGGCAAAAGTTAAGCATCCTATTGGAACAATGACAGAGGAGTAAACAAGATTCATTGAGGAGACACATCCTGAGCACATGAATGGGCTGGGCGCTGTGGATGACACTGAATTCGCAACTAACATATTGTTTATCCTATGTCCTCAAACAACCTATACTCTCTCAAGGAAGGAGATAAGAAAATGGACACATTCACTGCAGGAGGTAAGTACTGTGGCAGGGAAAGGCAGAGTGCTGAAGGGTCCTGAGTGTAGATGTAACCAACCGTCTTATTAAATAAGATACACAGAAACAATGTAAAAGAGAAAGCCGAGAAGTCAGAGCTCAGAGCTAAAATCTCACCCTTCCTCTTGCTGTCCCAGCTTCGCGAAAAGAGACCTACTTCCTGTCGGTTCGTATTTTTAAAGTATGTTGTTCTGCCTTCTCATTGGTTGTAAACCCAAACACATGA